AAGTAATTATGCATAAATAAGATCAGAAGTAATTGCGGGAATTATTTTTTTCAACTATATCGATTGTCAAACAGCTAGGTCAAAATTTATCAGACAGCAATGTCGTTTGTTTAAAAAAATCATAAAAGCATTTGAAACATTAAATAAATAAAGCCGATCTATTAAAAGTATCAGGAAAAAGTATCGGTTAAAATAAAAAGCCCTAACTCGCGGAATCACTGTGAATTTTCCATGGAACCCTATAATTCCACGGAACACCGTTTGGGAACTGATGGTATATCACATAGTTTCTATTAACAATTTATTAGTAGAACTGTGTTTGTAATATTAATTGAAATAGTAAGGCAAATTTTAAAATTTCAATTTATTACAGTTAGTTGAAATTTAAATTTATTACTTTATCCTGTTGTGTTTATTCAATCATTAAGTAGCAGATCAACTTCATTCAACTTATGATACGAAACATTAACAACTACGTAGCACCTAAGCAGTCCGAAGTCATTAGGCATAAAAATCTCTCAACATATTTAAAAAATAGCTATCTCTCAAACCATTACCTAAAGACGGCGGATGAATATTTGAAGAATTATGCATACCATTGAAGTGGAACTTTATACTTGCTATGGAGAACAGGTGCTATATTCCCTCTAAGTTAAGAAAAATAATTCCCATTTTCTTAACAGAATAATAAAATATAGATATAAGAGTGTGCAATATATATTAATTGCATTATTTTTCCATTTTTGATTTAGTATTTTAAAATCAATGTTGTAATATAAATTTTAAATTGAAGTGATATAGTTTCTGTATTGCTCCATAAAAGGGATTCTTTATCAGGCAGTTTCTAGATAGTTTCTATAAACAATTCCCTAGAAAAACTGTGCGGTTAGCAATTGTACTCAAACTATACCGTAAAGTTGTTATTTCAAACATATTTCTAAATTTAAATTTATTTAAAGATTTACTTTGTCCTGCTGTGTTTACTTAGCCGTTAAAGAGCCAGTCAATTTCACACATCTTATGATACGAAACGTTAACAACTACATAACTCCAGAGTACTCCGAAATCATTAGGCATAAAATCTCTTCACATATATCAAAGATCGTTATCTCTCAAATCATTAGCTAAAGATGGTGAATGAACATTTCGAAAATTATGCATACGATTGAAGGGGAACTTAACACCTGCTACGGATAGTGCTTTAAGAGATGTAATTCGCTCAGGATCTAAATGCTGTACAGATAGTTTGACAGCTCGAAATTCTTTGTCAAGTATAGAATCATGTTGATATTAACTAAAATCATTAATGCATATTTTGAATGATCGGCATAGTTTAACGCATTTTTTGGATAAGCGCATATTTATGGGTGTAAAGTATATTATCTTTTGTTCAGCCTCACATTATTTTTTGTTCAAGAGTTTTAATTTAATTTTTTCATGCTTATTTTAATATTTTCGACAAGAAAGATTGAATATAAATTTTATTTGCTCCTAAAATATAAAATTTTGTCATCATATTATATTTTTTAAGAAAGTAAAATTTTATTTATTTTTGCTTTGTAAATTATATTATAATATACGTCATCTAATTATTTTTTAATGTGTTTTAAATTAAATAAATAATCATTTTTTCGTTAATTTAAACCTTTATTGCTGTTAAAAAGAGTTATAGTTTAAAGAAGATTCCATATTGAAAATTTTTAGGAATTGAGTTGCTCAAATAAATTATTTAGACAAAATATTCTGTACATTATTTCCGATAAATATTTCTTTAAGTGGTAGGTATAATAGTAAATAACTAGCAATCAGTTGAAAAATTTGCTTTTTTCGCTTTTACATTTGACTTGAATGTTTTTTCCCAATAAGAATGAGTGACAGTTTGTTTCTCATTTTTTTAAAATAAGTATTCCTTTACATTTAGCAAACATAATAGTTTACTTACTGTTTTATACCTTAATGAAACTTCGGCATTTAGACGTAATTTCGTTAAATGTTATAAGCTTTTTGACTGTTTCATGAAAATTAAATGAAATATTAATGCAAAATTTTATAAAAATGAAAAATCTGGTTAATTTCATTTCATTTATACCAACTAATTTTCATACAGTGTCCTCTCTAAGCGTGTTTATAAGTGTGACCTTCCCCCGGCCTACCTTTTGATGAGACCTCTTTGCCCTTTTTGTAAAAACAAGCAGCCATCCCTTAAAAAGGAAAGTTGGGATAGAAAGGAAGTGCTTTCACACTTCCTTTTTATTCATATTCCATTTAAAAATTCACTTTCAAAATAATAACTACTGGTAAAATTATCTTTCTTCTAGGTTTATTTCTGATTACTGTTACAAATATTTATTTTGTTAGTATTGTTTTCAACTGGTTAACTTTCTATAAGTTTCTCTTTTTTTGCAGGGGTGTATATTGATGAATTTTTTAAAGGATTTTTAATTTCAAAATTATTAAATATTAATAAATATTTTTTTTTAAAAAAAAGGTACCTTTAAATATTCATTGTTTCTTAAGTTTCAGTTTAAATTTTAGAAAAAAGCATTCAATTTGTTTATCAATTAATATTTTTTAGTTCACTTTTTTGAAATAAATTGTGCACAGTGATTGTCTGTTTAATATACTAAATATTTCCAATAATATTTAATATCGTATACAATATTACCCGATAATTTAATGTATCGTTGATCAAACATTGAAACCAATATTTCCAATTTTAAACTAGAAACATGAATTAATATTTTTCTCAAACAGTTAATATCAAGGCTAATGAAAATAAAACGTTTTAAAATTAGAGAAACCAAGCAGTTAAATGAGCTAAAAGTTTAATCAGTCTAACCATAAATCTTCATTTTATAAAGGTTTCGCATCAGAAACGATACATAAGATTCATACATAGTATTATAAGTGAAGGAATTTTTAATTCCCTTAAGCTGTGCAGAATCATGATAATTCCGAATATTATTTTTATTAATAACGGCGTTGAACAGTTGAGTCAAATTATGAGTTTAAGGATACCAATGTTCGACTCCATAGCCTTGTAATTTTGATCCCAATTCAGAAGTCAAGGGAACTCCTGGATTGGGGTGAAATTCGCTTTTGTGAAGGACTTTTTGATAGGATTAACCCATAATTGCATTGCATCAAAAGGAAAACTACGAAAACCTCCCACGTTTTGCCTTACAAGAAACCAGACATTGCCAGGATTCGAATCCGGTGCACCCCATTGGGAGACTAGCACTCTATCCCCTGAGCCACCATGACTCCTACTGAAGTTGCAGAAATAACTGAAAGCAAGTAGAGTTTGGATTTAAAAGTTTTAGCTTACGTCCTTTATGATTATCTGAAGTTTATTTAGTTCGCCGAGTTAAGCTTAAGCCTCACTTTTGAATTTACTGAAATAAAGTCGTCAAGAAGGCAAATAAACTTAGCACACGATAAGAGAGGTATTGTTTTTAAATACTTCTTTCGTTTAGAATGTAAATTCAAATTAAAAATAAATAATAAATTAGAAGATATTTCAGTCTCATATAAATACAGTGCAAGTTTTACCTTTTTTTTAGTTTGAAAAGGTTCCGTTTAATTTATATCTGTTTATACTGAAGCTCAAAACACAAGTTAATATGATTAATAGTTTATACTTTTAAGGATGTTTTAACTTGTTTGACATTGTAATCCAGAGAAGTGAATAATCATTCCTAAGTAATTTAAATTACTGTAAAATTAGACTTTACTTAATTCAGTAAAATTAAGAAATTATGAAGTCTACTGTAATGAAAATTAAAACTTGGAATTAATTTTTACAGATAAAGCACTTTTACTTACTCATTTCAATTTAATCTTGATAAATTGAAATGAGTAAGTAAAAGTGAGTTTAACGTAATGTGAGTTTAACGTAAAATATACTCAAGGTGCAATGCCACGCTTGTTTAGGTCGAAATGTGAGATGCTAAGTTCGATCCTACCACTTGGTAAATTTATGATTACGGCAAAATCTTACATTGAAAAGAACCTAACTTCAAATATCAATATTGAACACAAACTACCACTTTTAAAACTATTTATAGCTTTTTCCTAAATATTCCCGGATAAAACTACTTAATAACTGGCATATAAAGCCGATTTACTTATATAATTCTGCGGTGATGGTGATCGTTTTAAATTTATTAGTGGATTTGTACATGTAGCATTATTGAATTTTTAGCCCTAATAGATACATCTTAATTTGAGTGTAATAAAATGATAATTCTCTCAGAGAAATGAATAAAATCGCTTAAGAAAAATTGATTTATTAATTATTGAAAATGGCCATAATTTGAAAATATAAAAATTATAAAAAAAACGAAATCCCTTAAGGGGATCAAGATAAAACATTCTCTTACATCGAGAATTTTAGTTACTATTTGCATATTCAACGGTTGGAACTGGGATGCCTAAAATGACACCCCAAGTCGCCAAAAATTTGAAATTGAATGAATTGTTCCAAACGGACAGTTAGGAGCATGGTAAGAGATCCAAGGTTGGCGATTTATTAAAAGATAACATCGCCAGAAATAAAGCTACCCTCCATAATCAATATTAGATTTGAAAATATTTTGGCGATCATGAATTGTAAGAATTAGTATGACCACCAACTGAAGCAGGTTTGTGGTAAGAAATAAGGATCAAAGAGTTATAAATAGATTTTTGTTTTCGATTTAGTGAATTAATGAGTCTTATATTAGTATTGAAATAAAAAGTTATCCGTTACATTGATCGATAAGAGAAGAATAAATATTCGCTTTTTATAAATTTTAATAAAAATTATATAATTGATTTAATTTAATTTAAATTTGGATAAAAATGATTAAAAAAATAAGTGTTAGAAATTAAAGAAATTTTAAAAGCTAGGAAATATGTAATGCCTATTGTGGCATCACAGTTTCTAAGGATAATTTTGATATTTTATTAAAGTAAAATTTAATATTTTAACATTAGAGAAATAGTGGTCTGAAGCATACCTTTCTTAGCTGCATGGAAGCTGTCATCTTTGGGTATATATTGTATATCATAAACAAGAGTTGTGTTAGCTAAAAGTAGTTTATCCTTATTAATTCTATAAACTGAATATTTAAAAGCCAATTCTGAGGGACTGTCTCTTTGGTCTTCGGTGAAAAGAGCACCTAGAAAAGAAAGAAGAAAAAGTAGTAAAACTAATTTGCGAATGAAATGCATAAAATATGTCATTTCGGTCATAAAAATAAACATCTTTCATTTTATCATAGTGATTTCATCTGATAAAAACTCAGTTTAAGACTACTTCTCTATTTTTAAGAAAAACAACAGCATTTAAATCTTTTTGACTATCTTGTTTTGAAGCTTTAAAATGTGGTAATTATATTTAAAATTCTAAAATAGTTTTATTTATCACTCTAAACTAGTTTTATGATTCTAACATAATATTTTATAATTCTAATATAGTTTGATTACTGTATTTCTTGATTTCACTTAAATCTTAAACTGATGTAATAAACATAATATCGTTTGAAAGTTGTCTGTCTGTTAAAAAATAATCCTTGCTAAATCAAATCAAACTGTATATTTCAGCAGATTGAATATCTATGCCATGAAAACAACAATATTTGAAAATGAGTAGTTCCGTGAATTCAAATATATACATACTACTTATTATCCATTTTTAAAATCTATGTCAAAATCAAGACGTACTGTAAACGTCACATTTTCAAAACAATAACATAAAGGATTTGATTCGAAACATCAAACCTGCTTGATTAAACTTGAAGATAATTTTTTAATTACTTTTTTTTCTCGATATAGAACTTAAATCATCTACAACCCAGTTTAAAGGTAAATAATTCAATTTAATTTCTCAATTTTGGTTGAAACAATTCCTAATTGTTGATATGAAAACTCATTAATCCTGCTCCGATTATTTGGAAATGTAACCTACAATGATTTTTACACAATTTGAAACCTATCATGATATTTTCATGTTTCGGAACCTTCCATAATATTTCCAAGAATAATAAAATATAGATATAAGAGTGTGCAATATATATTNTTCCTGCTTCGGAATCTATCATGATTTTTTCATGATTCGAAACTTACCATGATTTTTTCTTGATTCGGAACCTACCATGGTATTTCCATGATTCGGAATCTACCATGGTATTTCCATGTTTCGGAACCCACCATAATTTTTTCCTGCTTCGGAATCTATCATGATTTTTCCACAATTTGAAACCTATCATGATATTTTCATGTTTCGGAACCTTCCATAATATTTCCATGATTCGGAATCTACCATGGTATTCCCATGTTTCGGAACCCACCATAATTTTTTCCTGCTTTGGAATCTATCATGATTTTTTCATGATTCGAAACTTACCATGATTTTTTCTTGATTCGGAACCTACCATGGTATTTCCATGATTCGGAATCTACCATGATATTCCCATGTTTCGGAACCCATCATAATTTTTTCCTGCTTCGGAATCTATCATGATTTTTCCATGATTCGAAACTTACCATGATTTTTTCTTGATTCGGAACCTACCATGGTATTTCCATGATTCGGAATCTACCATGGTATTTCCATGTTTTGGAACCTAGCAAATATTTCTGCGCGATGGCATCACTGCCGTTCATCGTATTGTTATAACCATATAATTTAGCAAGGATTTCTATAAAATTTACAATATAATGTTCTACTTACAATCTGCAACAGTACATTTAAACTGGATTCTTTTCTAGTGATAGTACCTATTCATAGTTCAGGTCCTCATCCCTTTTTAACCTGTTTTTATGTTACTATTGTTCATCAATAATTTTTTTTGGGGACTGATGTTTTGTATGTGTTAAGCGAATTTATTGTAAGAAAGTTATTCCTCAAGTTATTTGCTGAATTAGAACACATATTTAAAGAAAAATGAAAACATATTTATAAAAAAATGAAAACATATTTAGGGAAATTAAAATCATTTTGAACTTTAAAACATTTTGAAAATTAGAGTAAAATTAATTAGTAAATAATAACTAATTCTGGAAAAAGATTCACACTAGAACGACTGAAATTTTTCTTTACCCAGAACGAACGTTGCGGTCATTTTGACAGAAGTAAGAAAACAGGAACAAGTATTTAATTTTAAAATCTAATTTGATCATAAAAAGTTAAAATAATTATTTTTTTAATTATTTAAGTATTCCACAGTTTTAACAGATTTTTTATTATTATATAATAATTACTTTTCTTTCAGAATGAATAATCTCAACGTAAAACAGTTGCATGGCATTTTAAATATTACGTTATATTTCTAAATAAAAGTATAATATATCTTAATTTAGTCCAAAAATTATTTTTAGTTAGGGCGAAGATTTAATTACATTTTAGACTTTTATTACTTGATGTTTCAAAAAGCATGCATGCTGCTTTTTTAATAAATATGGAAATCTCAATTTGATGAGGAAATTCAAAATAAAAGACACAAAGATTTCAAGGAATAGAATGATTTACAAATGAATAGAATGTTTTACAAATTGGCCATTTTTTTAAACACAACTCGTATCATACGCAGCTGCCATACTAGATGACTATGCCTTAATTGTTAAGATTGAAAACGATTTTTTGGAAGATTTTTTTTATTGTTTCGGTTTTCAAGGAAATTTTCAGGTTATCAGCTTTGTTAACATTTCCACGTATGTTAAAATTGGTGGCTCAGGAGGCAGAACTGTTCGCATACGAAACTTTTTTAAACTCTTTCTAGATATTTTGATGATTAGGGCGCTTTAAGAAGCACAAATCATCAATTTCTTTGCTTGAATTGTAGCTTCGAAATTGGTGGGACTTTTTTGTGATTTAGTTATATTTTAGCAATGAGTCAAGCTTTCTTTGCCCATGAGAGGTACGCAGGTTAACCGGATAGTTCTTCCTTTACAAAATACCGAATCAATAGCGTCACAATGACAAGGTTACTCAGGTGCTAAAATTTGTAACTATCATTATCATTTGCTAGCTGCATGAAATCAGTTAAAATAAAGTTTCAGAACCTGATACAATTTCAATCCATTTTTTAAGAAAAATTATTTTACTTGTATTTAGTAAGTCTGCAAAAACTCATCGGTACTGTTAATCAATTGTTTTAAATTTTTTCTGCTATTAAACAAATACCAGAATTTTGCACAAAACTTTTTCACTGACCAAAAGAATTACAAATTTAACGTTTATAATCCAAATCGCTTTCTTATATCGCGAAGAGTTTTCAGACGAACTGGGTTGGCAGTTTCATGGTCTGGTGAGCGATAGCGAGTTGAAAAAATGTTCTCTGTAGTAAAGAGAACAAACTCGTACTATCTCTATGTACTCAGGTGCATGAAAAAATAGAAGTTAAGAAAATAAAAAAAGAGTGTGCTTTATGACGAAACATGTTTAAAACTCTGGTGCGGTCAATTTGATCTATATGGTCATTCAAGGTAGAACTTAATTTTATAAACTTATTTTGTAATCTAATAAAATTTTTCTTTAATGCTTTTAATGGATAAATGAATCTAATAAATTATTTTAGAAAGTAAATTTACTACTTTTTTTTATTATATTAAGCTAGTATAATTATTTTAGAAATTAGCGCCATTCGAAGTTGATTTTTCGGTCAAAATGACCACTCTGGTCACTCTTTCTGCTAACACTAAATGAAAAATTAATGATATCATTTATTGTCAAAAGCAAAGCATATTTCACTGAGTTTTAATATAACCAATTTAAATATAGTATATAGCATGAATATATATAGTATATATAGTACATAGTATGTATAGTACATAGTATAATATACTATATATACTACATATATTATAATATTTGAATATAGTATATAATATATAGTATAATATATGAATATATATAGTATATAGTATAAATATAGTATATAATATGAAGTGAAGTGAATTTAAAACATCTTTTAAAATATCCACTTAAAAAAATATTTCACGTCAGTGCAGCGAATTTAATAGGAGATAATGTTCGAAATATGATGAAAAATGTAGAGAATCAATCTAATATATCTTTTAAATTGTCTATTAATATTATATATTATTATAACATCTAACTTAAATATAATATGCTATTTACATTCCAAATCTAATAAAAGATGCAACGTATCTAATATATCTCTTGAAATATCCATTAAACTAGACCACATCTTTGTTTTCAGAATAACAAGGATCTATTTTAAGAGCCGCAGAGTCAAACAAGCATTAAAATCAGAATAGCTTTAGAGAATAAATCTGATTGAAGGTAAGGAAAGTCATTTGAATGATAAGTTGAATCAATGGAAAACTAAGGATTCGTATTCTCTTTGTCAGGTTTCGGGAATAGAAGCCTTACATGATCTGTTCCATCGAAAGTTTGTTCCTAAGGCACGAGTTAAGTGGAGTGATCTATCTCTTTATTAGTGGAAGTTCTCGATCGATATCGAAGCAGTTTAATTTGCTTTTGAGGAAGGAAAGAATAGGGATATGTATAAGATTCTCAGATTCAGTAAATTGGTTGATTTAATAAGAACTTGACTTTATTTTTGGAATATATATAACGAAGGTTTTCTGCATCGTAGGAAGGATTTTCGAAAGTGTTTCGAAAAATCGATATTTTAAATTTTTTAAATTTATTTTCATCCACATTTATATAAAAAAATTTAAAATGCTCAAATATTGATGTTCAGATAAAAGCGAATAAAGTATATGTCATTTATATACTGGTTTATATTCGGTAACATTTTAGTAAAATTTAAAATGATTAAACATATATTGTTGTACATCTAAATTATTCACATTAAATACCTAAATCAAAATGCTTATAAGAATTGCTCTCAGGATAAATGTATTCTATTATCAACAGCCTTAAAATGATTCATAAGTTTCCGATGATATAATTACATCAAGTAATAGAAAATATATATTCTGTTACTTGAAATAATTATTTCATAAGTAAATTTGAAATTTTTATCGGTTACAAATTATTATTATATTTTAAACAAAATTTTTATAAGAATTGCTCTCTGGATAAATGTATTTTATTATCAACTGCCTTAAAATGATTAATAAGTTTCCGATGACATAATTACATCAAGTAATAGAAAATATATATTCTGTTACTTGAAATAATAATTTC